TATATATTGGAGGCCTATTGTTTTTTTTAAAACATACAGCCTGTTTAGATCTGGGACTAATTCTAAAAAATTCATCCAAACCTAACAACACCACTGCTCTCAAAACAGATTTCTTTTTTGATTTTGTCATTATAGCCTATCTAACATTTTAATAAGCAACACTGACATGGATTTGTGATAAAAAAAATAAAATAAAATAAAAATCAGGCATTTTTCAGCTGACATCTTTCTCCATGTCTCTCTCCAGCAGCACTCTGCTGACAAAATGTACTTTAATTTCAAATACATTACACAATCAAGTTTGCAGCCCCTAAAAATAGTATATGTGTATTGTATTTTTCGTTTTATTAACTGACCTTAATTTTGCTGTCCTTCTGTTTTCTGGATTTCACAGGAGTCAGCAACCTTAACTATCAAAAGAGCCAAATTTGGCCTGGAGCTGCAAAACATATTTGAGCCTTATAGTAACACTGCGAATTCAGTCTAAATTAGCCTATCAGCATTAAAAAAAAGGTCTAAATGAGCATTCAAAAATATGTTTTACCACAAGATGGCAACTCTACAGCGGCCTTTTGGATTTGGAATCCATTACTAGCCTTGCTAAGGAGGCTTAAGACGAGCCACTGCCATTAAGGTTTGACAAAATTCAGAGGAAAAGGCGCCAGGCCGTAGACGTGTAAAACATGTTAAAGCTTTCTTTTTTTAATTCAGTGCATAAAGTACACATATTTACAGTTGGAGACTGTCATAATTTCTTTGTGCCTATGATGAATAAAAATGAAAATGTGAATAAAAAAATCCTAAAACTGTGATATAATAACAACATAAGACTCTTAATTACTCATATTTGCAACTACTACTGTTTTATAATGTGTTTATTTGTTTCTGTTTTTCTAAGAACATCTGGGAGTAATTTTAAAGCATCTGGGACCTGATAACACAGCATAGTGCTAAAGATACAGCACAAAGACTGACGGCTACTGCTGACTGTATCTGTCATCTGTAAGAAAGACTTAAGACTCTAGACTCTCACACTTTAAACATTTTTCATTTACTTTGATGTCTGTAAAATTCAGATTCAGGTCTCAGTTTTCTCCTTCAGGTACACAAGCTGTGTGACATTTACTTTTTCACAATACGTCCTGTACAGTGCTGCAGAATTGTTAGTTTCATTATATGGTCGAATTTCCCCCTTCAATGTTTTCTTAAATTACACTTAAGAAAATACCTTTGGCCATTCTGTGCAACACAGGAACAATTTATGATGTGTATCTGTTGCATGCTCTGTGTGGTGCTTACAGCTGGCTTAGAAACACCTGTACGATGACAGATACCTAAGTGTTCGTGCTCCTCTGTAATGAAGCAATACACCAGCACTAAACAAACCTCCGGGGAGCTTCCTCTCCAACGTCTTTCATTATGTATCACCTTACCCAGGCAGTGGAAAATCAATATCAGTGTTACCAAAATGTCTGCACTACCCTGTTCATTGTGCTTCCTCTACACTCAACGCTGCTGCTCCCGAAACTGTGGATATTTTTGCGTTAACAGAGCAGATGTTTTGATGCAACACCTGGATATCACCTGTCATCTGGAAGGTTGACTTTTTTTAGCCTGATGTCTCTCATCTGGTTGATGCTGCTGTTCTCAGGTAAGGTGTTCTTCCTGGCTAAAGATACGACCAGATAATTGCATTTCCTTAATAGAATGAACTACTTGTAAGTTAAAAATTCCCTGCAAAGATTTCTTCTTTGTAAAATGTAAAATCAAAACAGAGCCAGCTAGGTTTGTTTGCTCTTTGGAGTGTGACCGTTCCATGACTCATTGGTTATTTTATAGGTCAGCGTCTCCCCTCTCACAGATTCACTGTCAGTGGTGTCATGATCTTTTTTTCTAACCCTCCTGTCATATGTCATGTAACACACGCACAGGTACAGCAGCGCCCCCGGAAACCTTTCATAGGGGTGGCCAGATTGAGGTACCGGAAATTTGGGCACAGTACACCAAAACCGAAAGCATGACAGAATTTCTGGAACTCAACTGCTGTTGTAGTATACAGGCTTCTCATCTTACGATTAACGTCACTATTTATCTGATGTGCACAGACTAATACGGGTATAGTTAATATTTTGAGCTCCACAACAGTCTCATTTTAATGTGTGATGTATCTGTGTACATGTCAAGGCCTGGGTCTTCACCGTGGGGTCTGGGACACCTAGGGCAGTGGTTCCTAACTGGTGGGTCGCGGTCCAAAAGTGGGTCGCAGGTCCATTCTGAGTGGACCACAAGTGACTTGCAAATGTGTCAAGTTTGTAAAAAACACACTTTATTTTTAAGTACAGTGAATTTCCAGCACAGAGCTTTTATTTTGAAGTGCCGTTTCCTGCTGTAGAGTGAGTGACTAACAGACAGCTACTTAACAGAGACAGCAAACTAGCCAAACCACTGCACTAGAGGGTCCTCAGAGTTACTCCAGGGTGGCTGTCAAGTTATGGTTTTAAATTTTGTTTTGAGTTTTTAATTTTCTTTTTATTTTATTTTTTTAAGTAAAACAAGTCTGAATATATGCATTACAAGAATCCAACATATTTTTTAGCAAAGATAAATCTACCTAACAAATAAAAAAATCATAATAATAATAATTTAAAGTATGCAACATTAATGATAGGCTAACCAAACGTGACACAAATTTTCGCATCGCGTTACTTGCGCAAGTTTGAACGCTAGAATATTTTGTGTCAAGTCAGTCTTCCAGGTTCCCTCTTTGAATAATAAATACAGATTACTGCCATCTGCTGGTGTGGAGAGTTTTTTTTATTCCACACAGATGCAGAACCTACATCCTTGTGGCTGTCAGCTGTAGTCTCTACAGTGTGTTCATGTGCAACTTTCTGGCCGAGACACAGTGACGTGAGGTGACGCTACAGTCGGCTTTTATTCCAGCTAGTTCTCTGAAGTTGGTTTGGTGTGTCTGGGTTGTATCCCCTTGGGGGCGCCACTGGTACACTGCATGTAATAATGACGATACTGGTAAAGAAAAAGTAGAGTTACTGAATCACAGGTTATTAAAAAGCTCCGCAACCACTTATGTCAGGAAATACTTTCATATTACTGTGTAAATCACTTAAGTTCAGTCAGGAAAACTTCTGTCAAAGAAAGCGTTAATTCCATTTGCAGTATTATATTTGGCACAGTATTATATTGGGCGGTATGGCTCTGTTCTGCGGCCCCTCTGCCTTTCCTCGGGCTTACGCAGAAAGCCTCTTCCACGCGCCTACATGGAAAGCCATAAGGCGGAGAGAGCACACCTCTCCGCTCTTCCACACGCCTGCGTGGAAAGCCATACAGCAGAAAGAGCACACCTCTCTGCCCTTCCATGTGCAAATGGGGAAAGCCTGAGGCAATCCTCCCCGCCCTTCCATGCGCCTACATGGAAAGCCTAAGGCAGCAGCAAAGACCCACCAGGAACAGAACAGAGCAGCATCAAAGACAAACAGAAATGACACTTCAGATCCATGTGTGTGTGGCAAATGTATGTTGTATCTGTGGGGTATATGTCGGGTTGGCACTCAAGATGTATGGAAGCGTGAAGAAAATTTTCCTAATAGGACAAATAAACTAATCTATCTATACAGCATGAAAAGGAGGAGCTGGGGTGGAGGTGGGTTGCAAAGCAGCTTGCAGAGGAAGCAGCAACAGTAGGCAGGCCAGAGCAGTTTAAATAGAGCACCCTCGATGAGATTTGCCAATTGGCTGCATAGAAAGGAATCATGTGATCTATCAGCTGACTCCCTTTCATCAATCAGCTGCTTCATCAGTTGATTGGGCTGTTTGTGATCAGCTGATGTAGCTGGGATGTGAGCTGAACTTGACATCGTGTCCTGCCTGAACTAACGCGATCCTTAATAACTGGAAGGCTATAAAAAAGTGCCCACGCAGTGTGTTTTGCCTTAATCAGTACTGACTGATAGCAGTGTAAACTTAGTTTCTTTGAGGTCTCCTAGCGTAAAAATGTGATACACTCATCAACACACCCCACTTTCTACAAACAAGCACCATGTACAAATAAGTATCAACTGAAACTTTAAAGGTTTTTATTTATTTTTGATACAGGGTCCCTGAGGGTCTGGCCTCAACACTACATAAAAATGACAAAGCCTACTAAAGACCCTGATCATTTCAGTTTTG